TGGGGGTGGGGAGGGAGAGAATACAAAAATACAGAGTCCTTTATCTGCCTTCCAGAAAGCAGCTGGGGAGGATGGTGGTGATTGTGATGGAAAACTTGGTCTTGTGGCAAAGTTAAAGCTCAGGTGTTCACATGCTTTAGATTTTTCTCCCTTACTTTACTGGAAAACTTCAAAAAAAAAAAAAGGTAACTTTTAGAGTTCTTCATAGACCTCCCTGTTCCGGGGTCTCCAGTGAACTGGAGCCACGTACTTTCCGTATTTAAATAGTCACTTATTTAAAAGTCGATCCTTGCCCTCGGGGTTCCCGCCGCCCAGGACGCGTCCACGCGCAGTCAGGGGCGCAGACACTCCATCCTTGCACCGCCTTCCAGTCCTGATTCATTCGGCTCCAGAGCCCGCCCCTCAATAACTTTTTAATTTGAATCAAGGGAGAACTTCAGCAGGCTCCGTTTCTGGCTTAATGTGATATAAATCGCAGATGCACTTTTATTGAATGGTTAAAGCAGCGACATGGAGATCATCAACAAAAAAAGAATGCCTCGAACAAAACCATCCGGAGAAATAAAGCTGGTTAATAAGATTTTTGAGAAAGCTTTGTGTTAAAAAGCAAAAAGGAAAACCAGCTGAAGGTGACAGTTAGTTCATGGTTAATAGGATCAGGGAGGCCTGGCGAGGCTGCACACTTCTCTTGGGGGAGGGTCAGCCTCGCTACAGAAATGAATGGGACGTTTAACGCATCTGTTATCTCGCAGAGCAGAGAAACCAGGGGATCCAGGCTCAGCGCCCCCTCAGAGGACAGGGAAGGTCTGTCTGCAGGAATAGTCTTGTCTGAGGCCCCAATCAAGGATGGGCTTTCCTGATGTGGACCGACATTCTTGGGAAGCGCGGCCTTCGCTCTGTTTTCGGGCGTTTGTACATGGCAGTTAGTTAAGCTGCAAAACCTTGACCAAGTTAAGCGCCCCGCCACGAGTAGGTAGGGCAGCTCCCTATCTTCACTACTGTGGCTTTAAAGTTCAGGCTGTAAGTGAATTTCAACGGAAACTGCGCAAGGCTCCTTGAGGTTGTAGAACGGCCTGCGTAGCCCCGGTTGTACTCCGGACGCCCTGGGTTAGGCAGCTTCTGGCCGGGAAAGCCCTCTGCAAGCGGAAACCCTCCGCGGAGAGGTGCTCCCTTCTGCCCGAATCCCAGGCGAGCTGGGTGGTGACAACCCTTAGAGAAAAGTGGCTGAAAATCGTTTTTCAAGTTGCTGGGAGTTTACCTAAGGAGACTTTTTTGACTGCTCAGGTACCCACCAACGTGCTCAAACCCAACGAGTTTCGCATAATGAAATAACTCAAATCAAGACCTCACCTCTCCACTCCTAGCAGCCAGTTCATCATTTCAAGCCACCCCTGGGTTGTTAGAGCGGCACCCCTCCACACATTGACTCAACCCACCTCTCACATCTGTTTTGTGCCTCAGCTGCAGTAACGTTTAGGACTAGAGACGGAAGAGGGAGTATATTTTCATGTTCATTGACTTGAAATTTTCCGTTGCCCTCCCCCCCAAAGAGGGAGGATTATTTTACTGATTGCCTGGAGGTGAATTTCTATGAATATTTATTGATTTATTTTCTAGGCTCAGCAGGGGAGCTGCAAATAAATTTAGTGCGTTCTTTAAATAATTCCTTTTCTATGAGGCAAGATGTCATCTGAAACTCCTAAATAGGCATTTAATTAGCCCGGCATTGCTTCGGAACAAAAACTCCCGGCCAGAGCTTTGGGGATGCGCTGTCTTGCAAAGAGGCGGTCGATGTGCAGAATTGATGCGCGCCGGCCTTTGTTGCCGGCCCATTGTGCGGGCGATGCTTATGAAGACTAATCCAATCATAAATTGCACCCCTGCGCCAATCAGAGCGCCCAGAGCCTCTGGCGAATGAAGCTCGAGTGGAGAACTTTGTTGAACTTCATTGTCAGAGCTGTCACTTTTCAAAGCGCTTTAACGGGCGGGCCCCTATAAAACCATCACCTCGACGGGAGGACCACGGAGGACTCGCAGGCGCCCAAGTGGCAGCGTTCGTTATTTGGAGACTTTTGCTAAGCCCAAGAGAGAGGGTACCGCGGGGGCGGGAGGGGCGGGAAGCGAGGCATTTACCCTTCCGCCACTGGAAGAAGGGTTATTACGCCCGCCTCGCGCCTAACATGATGTTCCCTGGGCTCCTCGCGCCCCCCGCCGGGTACCCCAGCCTCCTGCGCCCCACACCCACCTTAACGCTGCCCCAGTCTCTGCAGTCGGCATTTTCCGGACACTCCAGCTTCCTGGTCGAGGATCTGATCCGCATCAGCCGACCCCCTGCCTACCTGCCCCGCAGCGTGCCCTCGGCCAGCATGTCGCCCCCCAGGCAGGGGACCCCCGCGAATCTCACAGACACCGTGGCCTCGGACCTGGGCTCCCCTAGTCCGGGCAGCCGGCGGGGCGGATCGCCGCAGACGGCCGTCTCCCCTGCCAGCGAGCCTACGTTTCTGAAGTTTGGAGTGAACGCCATTCTCTCCTCCGCGCCCAGGAACGGTAAGTGAGCGCAAAACGCTGAGGGCCCGGCCAGGTGCGGCGTCCTTCTCGCCTCCGTTTCCTGTACGCGGCGGGTACCCACGCGCACACCGGCACACACGGGTGCGCGCTATCCCGGAGGCCTCACGGGAGACTTAGGTTTGGCGGATTCCCGGGAAGAAAAGTCTCCAGGCTCGCCCCACCCTCAGGATGAACTTGAGCCGTTCAGGCGCCGGGAGCGCACAGTTCTCTGGCGAAGCTCAACTGAGCGCGCGCTGCTGGGCGTCTGCGTTTTGGCCCTCCAGCCTCAGGGAGCCAGTTTTTTTTTTTAATTTTATTTTAACCCAAGACAATATATTTACCAGCTTAGTTGGTATATGGATCTGCAATTCTTATCTCACTCCTACCTATTTCATTCGTGCCTAGGATAAGATGGGGGGGGGGGGGGGGAGAAGACAACTCTGAGGACTGTTTTGGGGATAAAAGGAAGAATTTCCACAAATGAGACATGTTAGGAAAATATTAGATTTTATTCTGTCAACACATTGAGGAAGATGCCTTTGAAACCAGCCTAGGGGTTAATCATATCCTGTATTCAATGAGCAGAATAATCAAGTGCGTGATCAAATTCCCTTTCTGTCTCCCTCTCTTGTCCTCCTCCCTCCTTCTCTTCCAGAAGCATCCCCCGCCTTGCTCCAGAGCGGCCCTCCCAAGACCTTCGCCTTTCCCTACTTTGAAGGTTCCTTCCAGCCTTTCATCAGATCTTCGTATTTCCCAGGTAGGTCTCGCCCCCCTCCCCTTCGCGAGGCTGAGCGGCGCCCCAGTTCCAGCCCGTCGCTCTCTGCCCCGAAGCCATATTTCTCTGTCCACCCCTCGGGGTTATGCTCTGGTTCAGAGGTTGCGAGGCGTACAACATTCACGAATCCGTCGCGCCAATTTGATGCCCTATTTAGCACAAGCGGTGACTGCTTGACACTTTGCACCAATTCCCTGCTCTACAAATTAGCAGGAATTGTCATGGTCCCAATTTGAGGCGGTTCCCTCCCCGGCGAGGAGCTGTTGGCATCCCTTCACGCCGCCGTTTTCCCACAGAGTCAGTGCACTTGGCCACGATTCCCCACAAAGGTTTCAGCACCATGACCAATTGGTCAGCTCCTCCGGGCAGCCACCCACAGACCGGCCCTAGCCCCTCCGAACTACCCAAAGACACCTACCAGCCGGGGCTAATTTCCTTTTAAGACTCATTCAGGGCTCCGGGCTTTCCACGAGACCACATGGGGTGCCCTCTTGTGTGGGATGCCTGGGGTCGCCCTGGGGGAGGGAGGCTAGACCCTCCCACAACCCCCAAAACTTCTTTATCCAACCTGATTTCTCAGCCTCTTCTCATACCGCCCCCCCACAGCCATATTTTTTAAAAGGACCCTTAGGCTGATAAAATAAGTGTGAGGGAAGCCCGGAATTGTTCCTCGTCTAAAAGAGAAGCACCTTCAACAGGTTCCACGAGGTTTTTCATCCTGGAGCCTCAGGGGTGGCTCAAAAACTCTGCGCCTGGTCAAGACTCTGAAGGCCACCGAGGAGCCCCTAGGCAGAGAGGAGACGGGCATGGTTGGTGGGGGATGGGAAAGCCAGGACCTCACTCCCAACTATCAGCCAGAGAAACCAGCAATTGCTTTTTAAAAGGGGGAGAGAGAATTCACCAACCACCACCACCACCACCACCATTCATGCTGCGGCTGATAATGGAATTTGCTCCCTTTCTCTCCCAACTCAATGCTCTAACAAAAACAACCCGAGCTTTATAAATAGCTTTTCATGTCCATTTAATGAAAATGATGCGGGAGAGAGAAGCCTCTGCCATCAGTATTCTCCCAATGGTCTTGGCCTGCAGTTGTGTTTAGTTTGAAAGTGTAAATCTCTTTTGTCCCAGTAATATATGGCTTTCGCTGCTTGTCCTCAGTCTTTTTCTGTTAGTTCATTACTACACAATTACCATTCACGCTTCATTAGAGTCTCTGTTTCTTTTGGGTTCCCCCCCCCCTCCCTTAAAGCGAAACTCTCCCCCTTTTTATCATGCCACCCATTGGGTCTCCCAACTCAATGCTCTAACAAAAACAACCCGAGCTTTATAAATAGCTTTTCATGTCCATTTAATGAAAATGATGCGGGAGAGAGAAGCCTCTGCCATCAGTATTCTCCCAATGGTCTTGGCCTGCAGTTGTGTTTAGTTTGAAAGTGTAAATCTCTTTTGTCCCAGTAATATATGGCTTTCGCTGCTTGTCCTCAGTCTTTTTCTGTTAGTTCATTACTACACAATTACCATTCACGCTTCATTAGAGTCTCTGTTTCTTTTGGGTTCCCCCCCCCTCCCTTAAAGCGAAACTCTCCCCCTTTTTATCATGCCAATACCCATTGGGAATCGGTCAATGTGCTAATTAGCTGCCACTTTTCATGTATTCCGGCCGAATTCTTTACGTTTTGTGGGGGAGGGGAGGAAAGATTAATATTAAAAAAAAAAAGATGAATACTGACTGGGTTTTTTAAAAAAATCCAAAGAGGATTTTCTCCTCGCTATCAAATCAGTAAAGCACCTCATTTTCATCGAAAGAAGGCAAAAGCCGCCGACGTAATAAAAGCTTAAGAGGGAAACCCAGTGGCCTCAGCTGGGCAGTTTATTGTTGTGATTTATTTTTGCTGTTGCTGTGTTAGCTGATGTCCGCAGGTTTGTTTCCCTGAGACCGTTTAATGGAAAAAACGAAAACAGGCTACTGTGGGAGCTGTTTTCTGTGTTTCCGTAGCTTTACCTAATCCGAGTTTGCACGGTTGAAAGGGGACGTTATGTGGGCGGAAAGCGCCTTTCGCTCTCGAAGGTTTGCGGGTTC